CACACACACACACACACACACACACACACACACACACACACACACACACACACACACACACACACACACACACACACACACATTTTGTACATATGTTTGTTTCCCGGCTAAAGGATACTTAAAAACGCATCTTTTTTTACAATTTTTGCAGGTTTGGTTCAAAAACAGGAGAGCAAAATGGCGGAAGCGGGAGAGGAACGCAACCGACTTTAAGAATGGTTTCGGCACGAACTTTAACGGCTTGATGCAGCCGTTTGACGATGGTCTCTACTCCAGCTACTCCGGCTACAACATGAATAACTGGGCAACGAAGGTATAGATCCTAGAACTAGACGTATGTGTGTGTGTTGGGGGGGGGGAGGGATATTTCTGTGTTTATGTGTGTTGCAATCGCAAAAACACAATCATAAATTTAAAATAATTGAAAATTAAACAAGTAGGCGCACAAAAATTAAAACGAAGAAAAAAACACCATTACCACCTTCTCCTGTGCACCCGAAATATTTTAAACAAGACTTTTAATAAGAAATTGTTAACCCAATATTTAACGACGTTAAAACACGTTAACAAATTGCGATCTTCTCTTGTACGTTCAAATAAAACTTTACAATATATAGGAGTAATATAACATGATGAATATAATGAATATGAAAGAATTTTCACATAAGATCCCCTTTTTAGCGGAAAACAACAAGCACTAGTAACAAACTACAATAGCTCACAGGGCCGCCGCTCGGATCAGTGAGGCGCCAGTCTGGCCGTCTGCCGTCGCCGCCGCCACCTTAGCAGCGCAGGTATAGCAACCGTCGGCACCTCCCCCTCCCCCCTTCTCCCCCCACTATATTGACTCATTATCCATATTCACTGTTTACCGAATAGTGCAAAATTCCCGCAGCACGTAATGCATCTTACTACCGCACACATGCGCGCGCGTGCGCGTGCCTGGTGGGGTGCAGGCAAGACGCTACGGGAGGGTAGGAGGAGATGTAGGGGAAGCTTGGGGAAGTGCTGGGGGTGCGGCGGTTTAGGGGAGGATAGGAAGAAAAGTGTGCGTGTGGGAAGCTTTGGGAAGGGCTGCTCGCGCGCGTGTGGCTGGTGGGTGCAGGCAAGACGCTACGGGAGGGTAGGAGGAGAAGTAGGGGAAGCTTCGGGAGGGTGCGGCAGTTTTGGGGGAGGGGAGTGCAAGAGGAAAGGTGCGGGAGAAGCTTTGGAAAGGGCTGCTTGCGCGCGTGTGCCTGGTGGGGTGGAGGCAAGATACTACGGGAGGGTTGGGGAAGAAGTGTGGGGGAAGCCTTTGAGGAGAGGGGAGGAGGAGAGGTGTGGGGAAGCCTTTGAGGAGAGGAGAAGAGGAGAGGTATTGGGGAAGCTTTAGGAAGGGGTGGAGGCATGACGCTATGGGAGGGAGAGCAAGAGGAAGCTGGTGTGCGGCGGTCTAGGGCTGCAGGGAAGGTTAGAAGAAGAAGTGTGCATGTTGGAAGCTTTGGAAAGGGCTGGGGTGCGCCGGTTTATGGGATGGCAAGGTAGGAAGAGGGATAGGTAGAAGGAGGAGAGGGAGTGAAGGAGGAGAAGAGGAGAGGAGGAGAGTAGGAAAGGAGGAGAGGAGGAGGAGAAGGAGGAGGAGAGGCAGTGGAGGAGGAGAGGAGGAGAGGAGGAGAGGAGAAGGAGGAGGAGGAGGAGGAGAGGCAGTGGAGGCGGAGAGGGAGTGGAAGAGGAGGAGGAGAGGAGGAGGAGAAGGAGGAGAGGCAGTGGAGGAAGAGAGGGAGTGGAAGAGGAGAGGAGAAGAAGAGGAGGAGGAGGAGGAGAACATGCGGGAAAGTGTGCTAACGAAGTGAGAATATAGATCAGCAGCAGATATTCGTACGCTCACCGAACCCCGCACCAACCCCGCGGCGGCATGTGCGGCGGCAGCAAGCGGCATACACGCAAGCAGGCGTTTTTCAGCTGAACGCCGCGGCGGGGTTGAGCGGGATGCTGAGGAACGCGGTAACAGTGGCGACAGTTACGATGGCGGCGGCGATGATGGTGGCGATGGCGGAAAGTTCTGAAGCGTAGCGAAAACTGTAGTAATTATACGGCGACAAGGAGGGAGAGCGAGAGAGAGAGAGAAAGAGAGAGAGAGAGAGAGAGAGAGAGAGAGAGAGAGAGAGAGAGAGAGAGAGAGAGAGA